CTCTCTACCGCTGGCCCACATCCCAGCTTCTATGAGGTAGTTTCCAGTAGTGAGTTTGAGCTGTGGGTTGTGGTAGAAGAAAAATCGCTTATAAATGTATGTATAAATGATATACCCTTTGGTAGTAGACAATATTAAGCATGCAACTTTGCTAAAGGCATCTATTAGCCAGATATATTTAGAGAACAAAGAGCAACTGTGTTGACAAATTCACCCCAATCCTTGAATTACTCATTCAACTCATCTCTTAATAGTGATCTATTAACTGTGAAATATATTGCTGAGCTCTTTCATCAAAACCTGACTTTTCCAATCAAAAAGCATATTGTCAATCCCCAGTTACAAGCTTTATTTTTCCTGATTTCAACTATCTTAATATTCTCTTAATTGGGCTTTCTTCCTCCATCCTATCTCTGCTGAATCCACTCTCCACAGTGGCAGGCTATCTATCTTCCTAAAAAATAAACCTAATTAAAGATTTTTTTTTCCATCCCAATGATGCTCCTCAATATAACAGTTACACACCTTCCTACCACAGGTGTCCCCGCCTGCCTCACACTCTCACTACCATTTGAGGCTCTGCCACTCAACCCTCTGGAACACTGCATTTGCTTCCAAATGGTTGAGCATTCCCTTTGATTGAAATGTCCTTCTCCTCACTTGCACCTATAAAACCCTACTCCTCCTTCACAAACAAAACCTTTGTACCACCTCTCCTATCCTCAGAAGCTTTAAAACATTTCCTTGTGTATACTTTGTCTTTAAATGTTTGGAATTTTTTTTCTTGTTGGAGGAAAGGCAAGGTAAAGCTTTATTTTCAATGTGTCATATAACAAGAAGCTGCAAAACACCCTTCTGGATACCTCACTTAAGGCACATTAGGTCTTTTTTTTTTTTTTTTTTTTTTTAACATTTCTTCTATCCATCCTCTGTCTCCCTGGGAGGCTCTCTGATGCTTGAGGTTAAATTCATCCTTTCTGTGTCAATTCCAGTGCTTGTACAAGATTAGGTATTTTTTGGATTGTATTGAACTACAGTATAAGAAATATTTGTTGGATTGTACTGAGGTGAAAAACATGTGCATTGGCAACATGGCCAATTGAACCTAATCCATAGTCATAAGAGGCTCCCATAGAGTAGCTGTTGATGACCATCCTGTCCAATGCTGTTTTTTTTTTTTCCTTTTAACCAGGAATTGAACCAAGAGATGATTAACCACTGAGCCATATTCTCAGCCCTTTTTTATAGTTTATTTTGAGACCGAGTCTCACTAAATTGCCTAGAGCCTTGCTAAATTGCTGAGGTTGACTTTGAATTTGTGATCTTCCTGCCTCAGCCTCCCAAGCCACAATGATAATGGTTTTTAATTTTTTTTCTCCCTTCCCTCCTATTTCTTTCTTAAAGTATCACAATTTTGTTTTCAACATAGAATTTATTCAAAAGTCTAAGGTGCAGAACAGAAAAGCATCAGTCATGTTAACATTGGGGGAGCCCATGCATATGTTTCCATCTCCTTTAAAGAAAGGTTTAAAATACAACTTTACAGATATTAAAAACTATGGGGAAAGAATATATACATCCAAAATTGTAATATCCAGACTTACACTCTGTCTAGTTTTATCAGAAGCAGACACTGAACATTGTGAACTGTCAAGTGGAATCCGTTATTGGATTGCAGCTTCTCAGATAATTTCTAATAACAACCAATCTCTGATGTGCTTATTTTTAAAGCTCTTCTGGAGAATTATTTGCTTAAAAGCAATATACTGCAATGTTTCTGTATCCAACACTGTCATGCTAGCTTTTTGACAACTTAGGCTCCCTACTGTCTCCTTATATTTAAATGGGGACAACAATTGTACCTACTTCCTAGGATTTTGGTAAAGATTCAATAAAATAATACAAGTATGAGCTTAGAACAGCTACAACATGTAGAAAATGTTCAGTTAAGCTGGGGTTTGTCAAGGTTCATGATGAGGAAGTCAAATGAAGAGCACCACAGGGGCTACTATTGGATTCAGTGCTTTCCAAATGAAAAATGTAGTGTACCCACTGAGGTGGTAAATATTTGCATGCTGCTTAATGTTTTCATTGTTCACTTTGCCAACCTAAGGAAATTGACAGCTGGTTTAATTATCCTCCTCCTTTAAAGTAAAATATCTGATGATAATTAAAAAACCCAACACACATATGCACATATTTACAGGGTTTCCAATCAATAAATCTTGCTAAGTAACAACATAATTATCCATATATTCACTAGATGCTTTGTTTTCTGGTCATGCAGATTTCTGTCAGGGGACATGACACTTTCTTTAGATACAGATGTTCTGCATATTCCTTAGAACTAACTGAGCCACTTTTCTTCACTCCAAAAGCAATACCTAGTACTCAGTGGAACAAAAGTCCACCAAGGAAAAGTCCACCAGGGAATGTGAGAAGAGAGCCCAAAGCGGGCAGAAGCGAAACTGTATTCCAGGTGATTAATCAGAAAATAAAATAGACTGTCATTGTGAGGCCAAACACAGGAGTGTCTTAGAACTTCCTCTTAAATCATTTCACTAGACTGGGAAAGCAAAGTGCAACTTGGATGAAAAATAAAAATAAACAAAGTGAAATAATTAGACGGTGGTCACCAGTGCTTCATCTGTGATGCTTCTGAAGAGCTGAACTGTCCTTTCTGTCTTCAATTACTAGATGTCTGCAGAGGCTCAGCACAGTCCTGGGATGGTGGGGAAACTTAAAAAGGTTACTTTGCTGGGGTACTTTTGGATGATTCAATCAGTTGTGGAGCAAGCTCAGAATCAGGATAAGGAAAGCTCTCTTCTAACAGAAATTAAAACAGCTAGAGACTTAAACACCTATTAGAGAAGCCCACAAACCAATGATGCTCAAATTAAAAAAATTCAAATGAGTTGCCTCAGCAGTTTACAAAAATGTATAATTCAATGTGAAATAAAGAAGGTGACTGTATTTTAAATGTTTGACACTTGAGAACTTTTAGATTCCCACCTCTGCTTCACATTGGGCAATCAAATTTAGAGAGCTCACATATGCCAATAATTCTTTTGACACTGCAGGGAATTTCAGATGTCTCAAATCTCTCTCTCTTGCTTCTAACTTTTCTCTCATTTACTCTACTGTTACTATAATGACTCAACTTCCTTTTATCTTGTTTTCGCATGGACCAAACCCGATGCCTTCTCTCTCCTTGGAGAATCCTGTCATTTACTCTCTAAATTTTATTTCATATATAATATTGATACATATATGTACCCCTTCATCTCAACATCTACAAATTTCTGAGCTGGGCTGCTCAGAATCCAGAAGAGGATTCTAGGTACCCACACCAAACACTGGGACAGATATCAGTGATCCTAATTCAGTAAACAATGTGATGGAACATTGGGCTCACTACCACTATCTGCATTCTAAACAAGTATCCCAGGTTAAACTATTGCAGATGATTGACAAACTACTTAAACCTTCTTTGTAATGCTTTTCCAGTCTTCAACATAAATCACATTACTGCCTTCACTTTTCTACATAGCTGCGTTTGATGTTCTAACACAGTTTTATGACCCCTGTTTCTTCATCATTCATCAATCCTCATGTAGGTCTTCCACCAAATATCCCCTAAATAAGTGAAAATAAGAACACTGGAAAGAATCACAATGTGCATTACCTTGGGCTTACTTCCCTAAAGATGTACTGTTTATCCCTTGTGGTATCTGTTCATGGACTTCTCTTCAATTTAGACCACATGAGAACACAATTATCTGACGCTTCATAAACCCACAAAGTGAATTTAGCAGACCAAGGGATTGAAACAATAGAAATATAGAAAAGGACACCTTGGCTGGACTTGACTGAGTCATCTGATGACTATGGGTTCCTGGGTCACCCGCCACCACCACCACTACCATTGCAATAGGGATCAAATGACCTTTCGGCATGAACTCATTTTCTAGGGTCTGCAGGAATGTAGAAAAGTCCATAAAATGTCATCTTTATCCATTATGAAGAAATGTACTATATATACAACTTAAAATAGACATTTTAAGGAATCTAGAGAAATAAGCAGAGATAGATGCTATTCAGGAGTCATCTCAACCCATGTGCCCACAAAATTTTCCAGGAAACATTGATTGGTATCCTGGTTAGCAGGCAGCTATACTTCAGTAAGAGAGTAGAATGTTCCTCACCAGATTGCAATTTTCATTGCATCATACTTTGAAATATGCCCATGTACAATACAAAGGTTATCTGCACTGGCTGTTGCAAAGACCCAAAATCTCATAGGCAGTCATTCAGAATTTTGTGCCACAGAAGAATAGCTGACTAATGGACAATGCCTCCACACTTGTTGAGTAATGAGATTAGAAATAGTATTTTTTTTTAAATTTTTGCCTGTTAGTAAAGCAGTTTCAAACACCAAAGATATACAATGCAGTATTTGGACCCAATGGACTGTTAATTGCCTGTCACCTCTTACAAAAATCAAGTCACCTTGAAAAGATGTCCAGAGAATGTACCATTTAAAGGGAGATTGAACTTGATATGTCACCAAAGGTTTGACATGCTTCATCTCGCTCAAAGACTATATTCTAATTACACATGTGTTAAAGATATTTCATAAGTACCCATAAGGATTAGTGTTTGCAATGTCTACAGAGACAGAAAGACATTTTGGAAACTCTCCTTGTAGAGGAAGGGTTTCCGTGTGTAAGAAATATGTAAAGTAAGTGATACCCACATGAAATTTTTAGGAAAATAAATGGGATAATGTTTTATGTTTGTTTATTGTTTTGACATTTTGTTTTGTTTTGAACCAAGTCCTCTTCAAAGCAGGAATAGGTCCTGTCTGATGGAAATAAACTTTTATATATAAAAGCTTTGGGTTCAGTCCCGAGTGGCTTTGTGGAGTGTCCCTGTTCTGCTTTACTGCTGGATCGGGGTGACTGGTGTTTGGTGGCCTCTTCACGTTCAATAAAGTCAAAATGCAGATCTTTATGAAGACCCTGACTGGCAAGACTATCACCCTGGAGATGGAGCTCAGTGACACCATTGAGAATGTGAAGGCTAAGATCCAGGATAAAGAAGGCATTCCTCCTGACCAGCAGAGGCTCATCTTTGCAGGCAAGCAGCTGGAAGATGGCCGCACTCTTTCTGACTACAACATCCAGAAAGAGTCCACCCTGCACCTGGTCCTTCCTCTGAGGGGTGGCTGTTAATTGTTCTGTCTGCATTTATGGTGCGCAGTGATAGTATTATGTGCACATAGCCATTTGCTCCAATATAAGTTTAGAAATTACCAGTTTCAGTAATAGCTGAACTTGTCCAAAATGTTAATAAAGTTTTGTTGAATGGTAGGAAAAAAAAAAAAAGCTTTGGTGTTTTAGAACTTGGGATCTAAAACAAAAATAAATAAATAAAATGAATCTTAAAAATAAGCCCCTAGATAAATATACAGCTCATTATTTTGTATAGACTGAGTATAAAATGCATTATTTTTTTATTTTCTAAATTATCAAAATAAGCATTTCTCCCCATACCAAAAGTTTTATTTAGGAAAATACAAGTTCAATAATTTTTTTTCTTCCTTCTTACAAGTTAAGACATACTAATGGTAGAATTTTTTTTAAAAAATATACAAAAATAAGAAGAAGAACATTAAAACAAACATAAAGGAATAAGAAAAGTGAATTCAAAGAATTCTGTTATGAAACCAGAGAAAGACTTGGGAGCACATAGCTCAGGGATGACGGAGTGCCTTCTGGATTCTCTCTTTCCCACGTACGTGCCTTGTTCCCAGTGGCAGCTCTAGTTTCTCATCCTGGCTCTGTGTGGGACATCTGTGGACAGCCAACTCTAACAGCTTGGGAGCTTACAACCAGAGAAAATAGGGAGTCTTTACCTCTAGCTCTGGTTGGACAAATTTCAGGGAAGGATCCTGGGCAACTGAGTCACATAGTTAGGCCTGAAACATGGTATTCTCTGTATGACCCAGCCATAATCATAGCTCTTCCCTGTGTACCAGTGAAGAGGTAAGTTTTCCCCTTTGCAAACAGAGAAAAAGACATAGTTCTAGCAAATAAATAAGCACATACCCTTAAAATATGCTATAATAAATAAAATAATCAGTAGTTTCTTTATCTACTTTAAATATATTTGAAAAGATAATATTCTATAATATTTTAAACTAAATTCTGAATTCTAAGGAGATAAAGTGAAGGGGGGGAAAAAGCAGGAATTCAGTTAGTCCAGTCCAACATGGGCTGTGTTGAAAGTCATCAGATGAAGAAATGAAGCTCAGGTGGTCATGATCTTTCAGGGGTACCACATTAGTTATGGCAGATAGGTGGATTCTAACCAGGCCATGCTCTGGGAAGCAAGCCATGGCCTCAATCAAAAGTGTGTTATAAACCTCAGGCCAGAAGTGGACATAAGTAATACTTTACAACTTCTAGAATTAATAAATGAATTCAGCAAAGTAGCAAGATATAACATCAACACCCATAAATCAAATGCATTTCTAAACATCAGTGATAAACACTTAGAAGAGAAATTAGGAAAACTACCCCCCCCCCAAAAAAAAAAAAAAAAAAAAAAAAAAAAAAAAAAAAAGAAACAACTTGAAAATCAATCTAACAGAAGAGGTAAAAAACTTACACAATGAAAACTACCAAACACTAAAGAAAGACATTGAAAAAGACCTTAGGGGATGGAAAGGTCTTCCATGTTCTTGGACAGGAAGAATTAATATTGTCAAAATGGCCATACATGCCAAAAGCATTAATGAAATTTAATGAAATTCCAATTAAAATCCCAACAACAGTTATCATAGAAATAGAAAAAAAATCATGAAATTCATTTGGAAAAATAAGAGACCCAGAATAGCCAAAGCAATCTTTAGCAATAACAGTGAAGCAGGAGGCATCACTATACCAGACTTTTACTATACTACAGAGCCATAGTAACAAAAACGGCATGGTATTGGCACCAAAATAGACATGTAGACCAATGGTACAGAATAGAAGACACAGAGACAAACTCATATAAATACAGTTATCTCACACTAGACAAGGTGCCAAAAACAAATATTGGCAAAAAGATAGCCTCTTCAACAAATGGTGCTGGGAAAACTGGAAATCCATATTCAACAAAATGAAATTAAACCACTGTCTCTCACCATGCAGAAAGCTCAACTCAAAGTGGATCAAGGGTTTAAGAATTAGACCAGAGACCCCTCATATAATAGAAAAAAAAAAAAAAAAAAAAAGCAGGCCCAAATCTTTACCATGTCAGATTAGGGACTAACTTCCTTAACCAGACTCCTAAAGCACAAGAAATAAAATCAAGAATTAATAAACAGGATGGAGTCAAACTAAAAAGCTTCTTCTCAGGAAAGGAAATAATCAATAATGTGAAGAGAGCGCTTACAGAGTGGGAGAACATCTTTACTATATGCACATCAGATAGAGCACTAATCTCCAGGATATATAAAGAACTAAAAAAACTTAACACCAAAATAAATAAATAAATATAACCAATCAAAAAATGACCTAAGGAACTGAACAGACATTCTCAGAAGAAGACATACAATTAAACAACAAATATATGAAAAAATGTTCAACTTCTCTAATAATTGAGAAATCAAATCAACTACTCTAAGATTCCATCTCACTCCAGTCAGAATGGCAATTATCAAGAATACAAGCAATAATAAATGTTGGCGAGGATGTGAAGAAAAAGTTACATTCATATATTACTGGTGGCACTGCAAATTGGTGCAACATGCTTTGGAAAGCAGTATGGAGATTTCTTAGAAAACTTAGAATGGAACCACCATTTGACCCAGCTATCCCATTCTTCGGTTTATACTCAAAGGACTTAAAATTGGCATACAGCCACATCAATGTTCACAGAAGCTCAATTCACAATAGCTAAACTGGAACCAATCTAGATACCCTTCAACAGATGAATGGATAAAGAAACTGTGGTACATATACCCAATGGAATATTACTCAGCATTAAAAGGGAATAAAATTATGGCATTTGCAGTTAAATGGATGGAGTTGGAGAATATCATGCTAAGCGAAGTAAGCTAATCTCTAAAAATCAAAGGCCAAATGTTCTCTGATAAGTAGAGGCTAATCCATAATGGGGTCAGGGAGCAAAGGGAGAATGGATGCACTTTGATTGGGCAAAGGGGAGAGAGGGAAGGGGAGGAGTAATGGGGGCAGGAACGATGGTGGATTGAGATGAATATCATTACCCTAGGTACATATATGACTGCACGCGTGGTGCAATTCTACATTGTGTACAATAAGAGAAATGAAAAGCTGTGCTCCATTTGTGTACATGAATTGAAATGCATTCTGCTACCATATATAACTAATTAGAATAAATTTTTTTAAAAAGTAAAATTCCTTTTCAAATCAAGAGTATGCCTTGAGACCAAGGTTAAGAAAAGGCATGACATTTATTCAAATAAAGTGCTGGAGTGGGGGGTAGCTCAGACATTACAAGACAAAAGAGAGTAGCAACAAGGAGAGCAGAACACAACTGGTTACTGGACAACAATGACAGGGAATGCCTTGTTTAGAGAATCACTTATATAGTACTAGGAATGAGCAAGTTACCATATGTATTTCGCCTTCAAAGAATAGTTATTAGAGTCAAGCAAAGCCTACTGGAAAATTTCCTTTAAGTGAAAAGTTGAAGTACCTTTGAAAGGTTTTCTTATATCTTTCTTTCCATATTGTGATAGAAGTCTTCTGTTTGGGCGTGGACCAAGACATCAGGAAAACCAGGAAAGAAGGTAGGGGAATACATGGCAAAGAGGAATTAAACAACAAAAAATTTCTGCCCTCTAGCTACTTGCACCTGGTAGGGCATGTCAAAAAAAAAAAAAAAAAAAAGAAAGAAAGAAAGAGAAAACCCCACAGATTTATGCCTGGGGCTTTGCAAATTAAAAAAGTTTTAAAAAGTCTTAATTCTTTCAACAAATATTTATTGAGTATCCATTACTTGTCAGTTTGTTAGGAGACAGGGATAAAAAGGCATACAAGGCAGCCCCTTCTCTTGAGGAGATTACAATATCAGGCTGAGGCCAGCAGGTAAAATGTGCATTCTGACTAAAGCTCTAACAGAGGTATACATTACTAAGAAAATATAGACGAGAGAGCATTTCACTCGTTTTGATAAAAATAAAGCAAGAGCCAGAACCAAGCTATAAAGAATGACCCAAGAGACCCATGCAAACCTAAGGCCAATTGGAAAGACTGGGTTTAAGTATAGAAATACCAGTGGATGAGGAAATCATGTTCAAACAGATCTCTTATTAAATGTTGAGTACTTCCCGCTTTGGGATGGGCCAGAAAAACCAAGATAACAAGTTTTGTGTATGCTACTGAAACTAGGAAGTAAAGACGACCAACCATGAAAATGAAACCTTAAAAAATATAATAATAATAATGAAAAAAACACTTAAAAGATTTGATGGGTCTGGGAGAATAGCTCAGTGGTAGACTGCTTGCATAGTGTGCACAAAGTCCTGGGTTCAATTCCCAGAACCACTCAATAAATAAATAAATAAATAAATAAAAATAAAAATAAAAAAGAAATTAAGAAAAGAGAAAAAATAGAGTTGATGAACAAAAATTGTTTAGGATTTGGGATGAGGTATAGGAAACTGGCATACTGCACATTTTAGAGCTACCTGTTTATTAATTCAATTTTATGTTTGCATCCTTCAATCTAGAAATATAATAAAAGATTAACAAGTACTAATTTGTCCCTTATTCAGCAAGAATTGCAATACAGAGAACTTAAAAACTAATTCCTCCAGGCTCCCTCTCTTCTCTCCTTCCATGACCTCTTGTAAGTCTTTGATCATTTGAAAGGAATGTGTGGGTGGTGTGTAACCTTTAGAAATGCTTTTCTGCCAATTTACTAGAGGGAAGTTTTTTTTTTCTCCCTACCCCTAGACCTTACCCTAAGCTCTGCATAAAACCACATCTCACTGCATTGCACAAAGCTGCTCAGAGGTGTCTTGAAAAGACTCCAGTGAGGAGAAGGGAGTCAAGGCTGTGAAAACAGACAGCACCCCCTCAAAACCAGATTTTGGTGGCCCAAAACAATTCTGTCTCATTGTGTGGGATGCCTAGTGGTTGGTGAGTCATATTACCAGGTGTATTTATAGACCATGAACTAAAAAATAATAAAAGTAGTTATTGCCTCTTTAGAATC